CTGTAGCCTGCTCTACCCCCAGCTCTGTCCTGTTCAACCAGGCTTGTTGCCAGCAGAGCCTGTTCTGCGGGCTGTGGGCATGGCCTGCTGAAATCCAGTGGGCATGTAGCAGGGTGGGAGGGCTCCTGGTATCCCTGGGCTTGGCTCGGAGCTGAGAAGAGGTGCTGAGCCTCACCACACTACTCAGCAGCCAGCCTGAGGTCTGGCTCTGAGTTTCCCCATGTGGTGCAGCTCCTGGGAGGACCTGGCCACCCCTGGTCAGGTCCTTCACCTGCCTTGGGAGAAATAGGTGTCCTCCCATCCTCCCAGGTGGGGTCTCCTGGAGACTGTTCCTAATCAGGGAGCATGACCTGAGGGGACCCAGCAGGGTCTTCCTGGCTCCCAATGAAATCCAGAGCATCTCCTGGGGCTGGTGAGAGCTGCCAAGGAGGTTTTGGGATGGGGACAGGGAGGCAAGAACCCTGGGACCATGCTTTCCCTCCCCAAAACAGAGGGGGCTGCTGCAGGAGCTTGGGCAGGTTCATGCACTTGCTGTGCCTCTGTCCCCAGGAGCAATGCAGGCCATGTTGTCACAAGGTCCTGCAGCCTGTGGTGGTGCACAGCAGTGGAGGAGTTTGGAGGCTGGGGACATGATGTCCTGGTCTCGTGTGCATGGTTTGGATGTGCTGGCCTGAAGCCTGGCTGGGAATAAAGTCCCTCACTTGTTGAGCCCCTGCATTTGCATGGCTGAAGCTTGCAGGGGAGGGTTTAAAAGCCAAAAGATCCTATCTACCCTGGATGGAAGCTGAAAGAAACCTGTTTGGCCTATTTGTTGGCTTTTGAACAGGTGCCTGGAAACCAGTTCATGTCACCTGAGCTGCGACAGATTCCCTTCCTGCTCTGTGTCCATCCCCATCTGTGAGCCCTAGTGTCTCCAGCTGCTGCCGAGTGCTGGCCCTCCCTGAGCTGGTACCACAGGGCTGGTATCGTTATTAACCCAGGAGAGGTGTCGGATCCAGCCTGCCCCACATGCGATGCCTGGGAGATGGCTGTGGGGTTATGGTCCCCTTCCTGAGGCAGTGATTTGGGGCCTGGAGAAGCTTTGCTGCAGCTCTTGGACCCATGGCCAGCACAGGATGGGGCTGGGGTCCTGGGGGTGGGGGGCATGACTCAAGAGGGGGTTTCCTGGCTGCTTTAAAGGTGCTGTGGGTCTGCTGAGGAAATGGTGGGGGGAAATTGCTCTTACTCCCTTCTCTTTGCTGCTTCCAGGCTGGACTCTGCAGCAGGGCATCACTAAACGTGCCCCTTCCCCATGGCTGGGGACAGCCTGGCCCTGCCATGCCTGCCCGGGGACCAGCAGCTGTGCTGCTCCTCCTGCCTCGGCTAATCTGAGCTCAAATCGGAATGTTAAGCCCTGGGCTGGGCTCTCATCCCAGAGAGGCTGCAGGGACTTCCCGACTGATCCAGCCCAGGCCACATCCTGTCTGGGATCCAGCTGCGGGGGCTTCCCGGTGGAGGAGGAGAACCTTCCTGCTTCTGGGGCTTATCAAAAGCAAGGGTGACTTCTTAATTAAGAACAAAATAGAAGTGCAACCTATTGGCGTGTTTGCCACTTGTGAGGCCCTCTGTGGCTGCCTGGGTTATCTGGTGGTCAGGCACTGAGATACCTTTACCCACGTGGTCTCCTCGGGGTGTCTGGAGGTGGCACAGAGGACAAGGCACCCCAGCAATTGACTTGTCCTCACACCTGGGTGGCTCTACTGGGTGATGCCCTTGCCTTTGATATGCCTCTTCCTACCATTTGGGAGGTGGTGGCAGGTATGGTCTGTCCTCTCCATCCTGTCACACCCCGTGAGTCACCGCAGCTTGCTTGCTGTCCTTGTATCTGGGTGTCTTCTGGCTCCTGCCCTGCTCCCTGCCGCCCCACGCTTCCCCTTAGTGACTTGAGGCTTTGATTTAGCCTGGGCTGTGAACTGGTTCTCCTTCTGGCCTGTCTTTTATTCCCTGATCTGGGTGTCCTCCGAAGCTGCGTGTGGGTGTAGGGGGGTCTTGATGACCTGTTGCTCTGGGTGCTCTCACACCTCTGTACAGCCCCTCTTCCTGGGGCTCCCACGCCTGGTGTCCCCCCTCTGCCCCAGCCCTGTGGGTCTCCGCGCTCACAGGCTGGGCACAGCAATACCTCCCTGCTGCTGGGAGCTGGGGTGCCTCTCTCCTGGGCAGCACCCTCCCATCCCTCTGCAGGGACACCACTGTGGGTGCAGGGTCCCAGCCTGCAGCTTGGGGTTGGGGTGAGCTGGGGGCTGGTTGTGCTGCAGAAAAAATGGCTCTGGCCATGTCCTGGGGCAGGGGCTCCCTGGGGTCAGCAGTCTTGCTCGGGGTGGCTTTTCTTGCTTTAAAAGCATGGGTAGAAGGCAGAGGTGGGAGGTAGGGGTGAGACCCCTGGACTGTGGGAAACACCAGCGGCTGTGGGTGCAGGAGGAGGTGGGAAGGTGCTGGGGGAGACCTGGCAGTGGCTCCCCAGGAATAGGGCATGCGAGTTCATGGGCATGGCTGGCTCTTGTCAGCCAGCTGTGCACATCTGGCCTGCCCTGGGGGAATAGCACATCTGGCAGAGCAGCTGTAAGCATCTTCCCTAAACCTCTGCAAGCTTTATAACCAGCTCAGCAGGGAAGGGAGCATCCTAGCTCCTCTTGCTCCCAGAACCTCCCAGATCAGAGCAGTTCTGGCCCAAACTGGGGTGAGGAGGGGGAGCTGCACCTCTGCATGAGCAGGCAGCTGCAGTGCTGTGCCCTGGCTGGGCTCTGGGGATGACAGAAATGATGTGCCAGCTCCCAGTGCAGGGAAGCCAAAGGGCCTGGCCAGGAAAATTTTGAGCTTGCTTAGGCTGTGGTTTAAGCCTGCTCTGTGGCTGGGCAGGAGCCCCCCTGGACCCTCAGCCCTTCTCCAGGTGGGGGAAGGCAGTAAGCAGCCCTGAAGCTGGGCTTGATCCTGCCCCAGCCTTCCTGCTGCAAACCCTGAATAACCCAAGCGGAGCCAGCAGCTTTGCTGGCAGGGTTTAAATCCTGAACAGAGTTTGGCCCCGGAGAACCATGATCTGTGCTGGCATTTTCCAGGTTACTGTCTGTCCTGCCCTGACCCTGGGAAGTAGATGTTTCCCAGCAATGGGAATACAACCGCAAGCCTTAAAAATAACCTGCTTTGCTTTCAGTGCTCCTTACAAAATAGGCCATGTTCCTTCTATTTAATCCCTGGGTGCGAGGTGAAAATCATTTGAAAGGAAAACACGATGGGTGCTTCCAAGGGGGCTCTTGGTGGATGTCACCAGCTTCCTTGCAAACATCTGTCCCTTGCTGGGTGGTAGGTACTTAGCAAAGACAATAAATGCACTTATCTGGATGTGATAGGGAAGGCACAGAGCTGGGGTTAATCTGGAAGAGAGAGGGAGGTGATGGCACTCCCTCTGCTCTGTGGGGAGAGGTTGCCCCAACCTTTGGGAGTAGCACCGCCCTGGCAAGATCCTCCATGGCAAGCTCCGAGCCATGGCGTGGGCAGCCTGGTTGCACTGTCCCCATTTTACTGAGGGGAGAGGATGTGATTTGCCTCTGAGCAGAAGGAAACCTCTTCCCCCATCCCCCCAACCCCGGATGGGGCAGGGGGAGGGTTTTGGAGGTGGGGAGGCTGGGGATGTGCTGGCACCCACCAGCTGGAGTAGGGCAGATGTGATTTACCACTCGGAAAACATTGGCACCATAAATGCAGCCAGGAAAGCTGCTGGTGTGGTCCAAGCAAACATCCCAGCTCTGCAGGAGTCTTGGAGTTGGATGGCCCTGGGGTGCTGGTTTGGGGAGGGATCATGCATTGGCACCGGGGATGGATTTTTACCCTGGGTGAGAGGGGTGCAAGTGTGATGCATCCCCTGGGGGCTCAATTCCGCTTCCCATCGGTGTTGTGAGAGCTGGCTGTGCCCTGTGATGAGCTTCCCAGCTGTAGCAATGCAGGGTATTATTGTTGGGCCCCATCCTGAGCTCAGTGCTCAGTTTTTCCTCTGCTCTTCCTCAAATAATTTCTATTTAAGTTTTTAGGACTTCAGGCTGGGGAAAATTTGAGCAAGAGCCCAGAATCTGGTCCATTACTTCCAAATGTCACTCGGCAGCTCACTGGGCTTAAAACAGGCCTGGCAAAGAGCGGCAGCACAGGGCAGATGGCTTACAAAACCAGCGATGCACCTTGGAAAAGGCACTTTATTCTGTTTACTTCTGCCATACCGGAGTATACAGTGGAAAACCGTGCTGGCTCTGGTTCTCTGCTCTCCTCTCTGGTTTCACGCCACCCAGGTGAGTGCCTGCCATCCCTCCCTGCTGAGGGCACCCTACCTGTTGTGCAACCTCCCCTGGGGCTCGGTGCAATCTGCTTTATGAAACATGCAGCAAGCACGCAGAGAAAGAGCAAGGCGGTTTTTTTCCAAGTGGGTGGGGACTCCTTAAATTCCCCTGGCATTGGCCACAGAGTTTTTTTCCAAGCCTCTGCTCCAGTGTCTCAGCCCGCCTAGCCCTGGGGGATTTGGGCAGCTTCATCCCCAGCCTGACTCAGCTCAAGCCACTCCTCATCCTCCCTTGTGTGCCGAGAGCTGTGGAAACACCCCTGTGGTGGTCAGTGCTGCCCACAGAGGAGCCACCCGATGGTTCAGTGGGGACTGGTGCCATCAGGTCCCCTCCAGCACTGTGGCTGCTGTGGGGTGGCCCAAATGAGCACCTGAAGTCAGTGTTCCCCAGGGATGCTCAGGCATTTTGCCTACCCCTGCTTGCCTATGCAATGCTCCCCTCCCCTACCCCAAAGCCACCTGGAGATTTGCAGCTCCCGGGTGGGCTGGACCGGCAGCCCCCAGACCCCCAGGGTCCTCCTGCATCCATGGGATGCCAGCTCCCAGGGAAGAGGAGGAGAGCTGGGAGGAGGTGGCGGCTGGCAGTGCTCCAGGAAGGTCTGGACCCCCAGGTGGTCTTGTGCCCCTGTGCCTGAGTCCTTCACACCCAGTACTGGTTGTTTTTCAAGGGGGGGTTGGAAGTCCGGCAGTACTGGAGAAGCTCGGGGTCTGGTGGTGCCCCGGGACCCGTGCCCTTGGGTGGGGGACCTGTGCCCTTGCCCTCCAGGGTGTTGACAGTCGTTAGGGGGATGCCTTGGTTGGGGTCCGTCCTCCGGAAGGTCTCCTGATCCGGCACAGCCCCGTTCTTGGCCTTGGAGGAAGGGGTGCCCTGGACGTGGTGCTTCCCTGTCTTGTTGCGCTTGTGCAGGTAAAAGAGCAGGGGCAGGATGAGGGCCAGCAGGAGGAAGATGAGGCAGATGGGGATGATGATGCTGAACATGTTGGCCTCAATGAAGCTGAGGAAGGTGCCCCCCTCCACAGGGCTGGGGCTGGTGGTAGCACCAGGGCCCAGCCAGGTGGTGGGGGGTATGCCCAGCTTGCTGGCATTGGGGCTGCTCTGTCCTGTGCCCTGGGGCTGGGGCAGTGGGGGCAAGGGTGCCAGGGGGCCCCTGAGCAGGGTGACACTGTAGGCTTTCGAGGCATTGTAGGGCTCAATGTGGTACCCCAAGGATGCCAGTGCCGGTGGCACGCCAGCAGCCACCAGCTCAAAGATGAAGCTGTCACTCTGCAGGGGCTGGTCAGTCCCCCCAGCTTCCAGCACCTCCAGCCCAACCAGCCTTTGCTCCAGCTCGCTCTGGCTGAAGGCCTTGATTGGGATGGTGGGTTGTCCTGGGTCCTTGGAGACCTTCACAAGACGGCTGCCACGGGGCTCCCTGTGGATCTTGAAGACAGGAATGCTCTTGGTGTGGTTGGCCAGCTCACTGGCATCGAGGATGCTGGTGTCCAGGAGGGCTGTGGTGCCCCTGGGCCACACGCTGCCCGGCTGAGCCTTCACCAAGGCACGGACTGTCACGTTCACCACCCCGGTCCTGTTGGCTGCCCGAGACATGGCAAGGAACTGGAAGTTGTCCTCGTGAGAGGTGAGGTCAGTGAAGGTGAACATCACCTCCCCGCAGTCCAGCTGCTTCTGTGAGAAGCCCTGCACTGGCTCTTGGTTGACCTGTACTTGGCCAAACCTTGGGTCCTTGGTGATCCTGTACAGGACATTGCCTGTCTTCAGTTGCGTGGCTCCCAGGAGGTGATGGTGGGACACCAAGGCCCTGTTCAGGTCTTGGGGCACCTCCAGCAGCACCGGGCTGGCAGCAGTGCTCACTGCAGGCAGCACCTCGATCCCCAGTGAGGTTGGGGTGGGTGGGTGGTGGCCATCAGAGAGGCTCAGGGCTAAGGACCCTGTGGCGTGGCTCCCAGTGGCAACAAACACCACGTGGCCTGCATTGACATCTGCTTGGGTGAAGCGGCTGATAGGCTCCTGTGGGTTGCGTACGTTGGCCAGGTGGCCAGCAAGAGGTCTCTGGAGGACACTGTATACCATCTCCTCTGGGGACCCCAATGGGTCTGCCACGTCCAGGTACTCCTGGGACAAGGTCACCACGGATCCTGGTGAGACCCGCAGCACTTCTTGCCGCTTCACCACCTGTGGTGTCTTGCTGCTGCTGGTCACTGTTACATTGAAAGCTTCGGAGATTACTGTCCCTTCCTGTGGAGGACGGATGGACTGCTGCACCCGGGGCTGGAGCCAAGCCTTAAATCTGAAATGGTCATCGGAGATGCTGTCTCCACCATGGGCGTATGCCAGGCTCCTTGTGGCCAGGTCTGACTGCAGGAAGAATGGTCGTGACTGCTCCAGGGGCATGCCAGCCACCAGGAGCTGCCCATGAGCTGGCAGCCCAGTCACTAGGAAGACAACATCATGTGCAGCCCTCTCAGGGACTGGGATTTGGCTTAGGAGGTTGGAAGCATCCAGCACTGAGGTGTCAATCTCAGCCCGTTGAGCTCTTGCGAGCTGGAGGCCTGGGGGAAAAAGGGAAAATGCAAAGGTCTGTCATCCCTAGGAAGAACCAGGATCTGCTGGAGAGGGGAGGTACAGCAAAAAAAGGTTTGCAAGGAAATGGAGGGGGATGAGAAGGCAACTGGGACATATTAGACTGGCAAGATGATGGAGGAGGGAATTGCACAAACAGCAAAAGGATAGATGCAATTTTAGAGGTTGCTTGACATAATATCAAAGCTCATGCTTGGGTGGCCATGGGACATTGCATGGTGGTGTCTTCTTGGGACAAAAGAGCTCTCCTGAAGTTTGCACAATTTGGGGGGTGGGGAGATTGTGCAAACTTCAGGAGAATTCGTTTGTCCCTTGCTTCTCCCTTCCCTCTTTACCTGCATTTCTCCATAGCTGAGTCGAACGCTGGGGACACCTGGCCTCAAAGGAGATCAGCACGAGGAGGATGAAGGAATCAGAGATGGTTGTGGGAGCGACTACACGGAAGCGGATTGCATCTTGGGTGAGCCAGAAGGGCTTTTCTGGCATCTCATGCTGGTAAAAAATCAATCCGCTGTCCACCTAAAATAAAAAAAACTCAATGATACCTGTTAAATGGCAAAACAAATACTTGGAGTGGGTGATGCCATGTGGGAGATGGGTGCATCTGTCTCATCTCTGGTGTGAGGGGCGCTGTAGCGCCGGGGGGGACCTTGGTGATGCTGTGTTAGAGCCAATGTACGCACCCTGAGCTTGTCTTGGCTGTAGGAAGGAGCAGCCAAGCCCTAATTAGGTAAGAAATGGGGATCATTACCAGCTATGCCATGGTAGCCATCAGTGGGAGTACACGGTGCCTCTCTGCCAGGATCTTTCTGTGCAGCAGTTGGGGAAACTGAGGCTCAGAGGAAGGGGGAGCTTGCAGGATGGGCAAACCTGTGTGCTTCTGGGGCGGGGGGGAGTGGTTAGTGATAAGTCCTTTGCTGTGCTCTACAAAAGCCCAGCTGCATAGCAGAAGCATGGTAGCAAGGATCTGCTTGGAGCTGTGGTGAAAGCATCGCTTAGCTCTTGTCTTAGGCAGGAGCCAGGCTGGCTGGGTCTGCAGCAGGGAGGTAGCCTAAGAGGGGATTACAACTCCCTGAGCCTCCCCCAGCACTAAATCCAAGGCTGGTGGCTGTGGTAAAGCCGATGCTGGGGCTCTTAATCCCTCTTAGCTGTTGGCAGAGCTGGGAAAGTCACAGCATGGCTGCAGCCTTGCTCTGCCTCCTGCCAGGGATCAGGTGCCTTTGCCCATGGCAGGGTCGGGCTGGGACCCCTGGGCTGCAGTGGGTGGGGATGGAGGCCTGTGCCTTGGGATTCTGGGGGAGGCAAAAACTCACCTGGGCTTGGGTGAAGTTCCTTATTTCCTCCCCCTGGGAGGTGCTGAGCCTGCCCAGGCGTGGGGCTTGCTCGATGCTGTAGTACAGAGCAGTGGAGCCGGTGGGGCTGTTGCTCACCGCCTGCAGGTTCTGGCTGGTGATGGGCTGCAGAGCACCTGGAAAACATATCCAGAATGGACTTCAACCCATTGCCTCATCACCCGCCTGCAGCCTCTGTTGCAGGCATCTCTTGGCAGTGCTCAGGCGGGGGTGGTGGGAGGGTCCAAGGGCCCTGTTTGCCATCAAACTGGGAAGACGGGGAACCATACCCACCTGGGCAGACAGTAAGGCTCTGCTTCTTGGCCAGGCTGATGAGGGGCTCTCTCTGGGCCCTGATGAGGAAGAAGTGCCCAGGAGACAGGTTCTCACCATCCCACAGGTCGAAGGCAAAGCCCCCATCCAGGGCCCCTGTGGAAAGCAGAGAGCTGGGCATTTACGGGGGGCAGGAGGGGCTGCAGCTCCCCATTAACCTGGCACGGTTTGGACCAGGTGTGTGTGATGGGGTTAGCATCTGCCTTGGTGGCACAGTGCTCCCCTCCAGTGGTGTCCCCTCCCTTGGGCTGGGGGTGATGCTGGGGGGGCTGGGGCACCTCAGCCCTGCCTTACCTTGGTGCACAAAAAGGATGAGGCCGTTGTTTATCTGGGCCTGGGTGAACTGCTGGACCTCTGTGCCAGGCGCCGAGCGCAGCACAACCTTCCCATTGGCTGGGGGCTGGATGGAGTAGGTCACCTCCTCCGCTGGGGAGTCCTCATCCTCAGCGCTCAGGATATGGGGGCCGATGACAGCTGTGGCACCTTCCCGCAGCTGGGGGATAGGGAGAGGCTGTAATTCCCCTGGGATGTCCCAAGCACCTCTGTCCCCTTCCCCAGCCTGCTCCGGACCCCGTCCTAGCACAGGCCACTTTGCTGGGTCCCTGAGTGCATCCCAACCCAACAAGGATGCCTTGTCCGTGTGCTGGGTGATCATCTGGCCTCTTCCCAGCCCTGCATCACCCTGCAGTGCTGCCATGTTTGCTGGCACGTGCTGTGCTGCTGGGTCCGTGCATCTGCCTGCTGTGTGGACAGAGGTGAGGGCTCACCCCTCTGTGCCTCAGTTTCCCCAAGCACTGGCAATGGAAGAAGGCAGGGTGCTGGTGTGGCTCGTAGAGCTGGGGCAGAGACCGTACCTTTGATGTGTCTCCCTCCATTGCTCTGCAGGAGAAGGGCTTTTTGTGGGGTGCCCAAGCCCTGAACTCACTCCCTGAGGTGCTGCTGCATATGTGATGGCTGCAGCCCTGTCTCTCCCCAGCTGGGTGTTTCTCCTAGCTCATGCTCCCAGCAAAGCACCCGTCCCACTGCCCCCTCGCAAGGCTGCAGCGAGGCCACAAGCTGACCCAGCAAACCCTCCAGGAATGACAAGAATGTGGCCAAGCTCAGGGCCGCTGTGAAGCTTCCCAGGGCCACTTCCCTCTGACCAGTGGTGGCCATCCACCCATGGGGACACCACCACCCCAAAGCCCTGGCATCTCCCCTCTCCAGCTGGAGGCAACAATTTTCTCCACTCCTAATCCTGTGCTGTATCTCAGTCTTGGCAGACCACAGGGATGAATCCTGCACTGCCAGACAGGTTCTGCCCACGATGCCCAGAGCTGCCTTTTGCCCTTAGGATGCCCCAAAATCACAGGGTGCATTGACCGAGCCTTCCCGCAGCTCGTGCAGGGTGGAGGGGCAGGATGCGCTGCATCCCACGGCATCACAAGCCTGGCCTGTGTCCTGCAAACCCACAAGACAACACCCGGGCTCTGGAGGAGCTGATCAGCTGGCTGTGCTGGGCTGGATGAGCTCTTCTCTGCTGTTTTCAGCTGGCCTAACCCAAAGCATTTCTTGAGTGGGTGTGGGTGCCGACAGTGAAATTAAATCCCTCGGCAGTCCCCGCGGGATGGCGGGAAGCAGGCTCGAAAACAGCTTTGGAGAGAGGGGAAGGGGGAAGCACTGCTGGACATATGGCTGGTGCGGGAGCTGAAGCCCTCACCGTGGGAGCTGCTGCTCTGCCATGCATGCACTGAGCGTTTGGGGGCTGCTACCTGTCGCAGCACCCACAGCCAGGTCACTCCAGCGCCCGGTGAAATTGCAGTCATGCCTGGGGCTCTGTGCCAAGGAAAACTCCCCGTGGTCAAAGCCGGGAGAGGCATTTGCAGGCAGGGGGACCAGCAGCCCCGGGGCATCACTGGCCACAGGGGACAGGCACCCGAGGCGGCTGGAGCATCTTTGCTCACCACCGAGAGCCTGCACTGCTGGGGCTGACCCCCTTCGCTGTGCACCCTGTCCTCTCTGAATTATTAAAGCCTTTTGCCTGGTTCCTGCTCTCACTTACTTGGCTTATTATGTTTGCTCAGCCTCCGTGTCGCCTCTGCTCTCCAGGAGAGCGCGTGGGGAGGCAGCAAAATAGCACCAGGAGCGTGGCCGTGTGTTGTGGTGCAGCGGCGGAAGCCTTTCTCTTGGTGGCACCCAGCCACCCTTTCTCCTGATGCAACCCAAAAAGCTGCTTGGGGCAAATCTGCCTGGTCCTTCCCAGGGAGCTCCGCTTCAGGGTCTGAACCCTGCCCGTTGTCTCCTCAGGCCTGCGTGGACTCTGCGCCCCTGGAGCTCACAGGCACAGGCAGCAGAGGAAGGCTTTGTGCAATCTCTGTCCTGGACCTGGCCTGACCTTTAAACGCTGAAGTCATCCCTCGCCAGAGCGCAAACACAGCAGGGCCGGGCCCCTCCTGACCCCCGGGTTGCTTTAGCATTGCTCCTGCTGGGAGCAGGGAGCCTGCCCCAGCTCCAGAGCCCCTCCTGCAGACAGCCGGGCCGCGGCTTTTCCCCCCCCCCCCGCCAGGGCCAGGGGGGGATCCTGATGGAAAGGCAGATGGACCGCTGCCTGGGAGTTTATTTTGGGAGCTTTTTCTTTCTTTTCACCCTTTTTTTTTAGCATGGCGGCATGGAGGGAAGGACATGCTTCCCTAAGTGCCTTGCAGTCTCTGGGCTGGTTAAAAATAAGGCAGAGAGGGAGGGAGCCTCCTCTTCCCAGTGCACAGGGCCGGCTCTGTGCATTGGCCCGCACCCTGGGGAAGGATGCAGGGCACCGGGGACGGAGCCGCCAGCTCTGCCTGCTTCCCCTGCCTTGGGCCCACCCTGCCAAAGCCAGCCCAGAGCAGCACTTTCGGGAAAGTGAGCAGTGAGGAGCTTTTGTACCTCTGGAGCGGGGATGGGGGGCTGCTGTGGGCCCAGCAGCCGAGGGGTTAACCTTTCTCCCTCGGGAGTGCAGGATTTTGGCACAGCTAGGGCAGATCTTGGAGGTACCCTTAATGCACTATAAAAGGGATTTGCTGGGAAGGGACTGAGCTTCCTGGACTGGGGGTGTAACCGAGGGGAGCATGGGTAGGGCCAGGGCTGGCTGTAGATGGGGGCACCCCCCCAAACTTTGCTACCAGCCCTGGCTCCTCTCCCTGCTTCTGGGTGGTGCCTGGCCCTGGGCAGGACAGCCCCTACACTTCCCTTTGGGCATCTCCTCCAGAGCCCAGGCTCCCAAACACCTTCCCAAAGCCACTACAATCATCCTGGCATGACCATCCTGATGGAAGGAGCTGCTTTCCCTGCTGCCAGCCTGGGAAATCCTGGGATGGGTGCATATAGCGTGGGGGGAATGATCCTGCTGGGCTGGCACTCCTGCATGTCTTCTAATAATTTCCCTGCTGCGATTTTGCATCAGTGACCTGGAACGGGGCAGGGAGGTGCCTGAAACAGAAGGTGGGACTCCCAGCAGCAGGAGCGACCCATTTGCTCCTGACTGTACTGGTACGGGCGTTAGTTCCCTGCTGCAAGGCATGCTGCTGCTGCGGGATAGGAAACCTGGGCGCAAGGGGAGGCGCGAAGGCTGCCTAAATAATTATTTGCAACATGTGCTGGTGGAACTCGGGCACGCTGCTCTTCGCTCTCCCAGGAGTTATCCGGGACCCGGGGAACGGCGGGGGGGGCGCCCGTCCTG